GCACTGACGCGGCTCAGGGATTACGTCACACAGAGCGTCGTGCGCAGTGAAATCAGGACATTTCCTCACTTTCTCAAAAAAACCCGGGACGCCCGGGACAGGTCGTGAAATACGGATATGTCCCGGGAAATACGGACGTTTGGTCACCCTACACTAACGTAAATGTTTAAATGTTTTTTCTATATTCACACCTTCAATGTTGTTCATTTATTTATATAGACCATTCTAGTGTAAGTTACTGCATCATCCCATACAGAAAAAAACCATTAGGTCATCATTGCAATAAAAAAGTCAGTGAATCCAAGATGGCTGACACACAAGAAAAAGACCAAAAAAAATGGTCATTTCGGTTTCTACAGGGCACTAGAGGAACCACAATTTCAACAGAATACCATTCACAATTGCAATACTAAATTACAACTATATCTATGCAACTAATTTGGTGTATTTAGAATTTTTTGTACAGTATAAAATGCACAAAGTACAGTTGAGTGGACTGATATTTTTTTTTTTAATAGAACAAAGACAATAGATTTTTTTTTCAAGTTGTTTTACATTCCTTAGGATATATAAAAACCCTTTGTTTATCATAATTCGATTAGTCAACATTATTTGGCCAAATAATTTTTTCTTTAATGATTTGCTTAATCTAGAACCAAAAGCCATTAGTTAATTGATTCTACTCTTTAAAATAGCTAGCAGTGAACAGACATCAGGATTCCACTGAATCAGGCATCCCCAACCTCGATCTCTGAGGCCCGCTGTCCTGCAGGTTTTAGAGGTTACCTTGCTCCAGCAGAGCGGATTTTGATTGAAAGCTAATTAACAGGCTTTTGGTCTACTGCAATCATTTTATTCAGCTGTGCTAAAGCAGGGAAACCTCTAAAACCTGCAGGACAGCGGGTCTCAAGGACCGAGGTTGGGGATGCCTGCACTAAATGCCTCTTGGTCATACTTGGTAATTGAAAGGTAATGAGCATATGAGGAACACATGAACACTAATGTTATATCAGTGTTAAACTCTTAGTGAAATAGAGCTTGTCCAAGCTTCAGCTACAGCTCAACACGTATTCCTGTAGCATAGCGTAGCATGCAGTCCTTTCTGTTCACACCTCTGTGGGCTGCCATGGGACTTGCCTGTGGAGGCCTTGGCTGAAAAAGGGGGGGCTGCAGACGCCCCCCAGCTGTTATTCATCAAAGCTGCATGTTTTCCTCTGGTCATCATGTCAAGATAAAATATGGACACGGGTTCCCAATGTCCAAAAACCATGATCATGGCATATGGCACAACAAGTACAATGCTACAAACAGGTATTTTGAGTTTTTGCTAGAGACAGTGAGGAAGAGGTAAGACAAATTTTTATCACATCTTTGCAGCTTGACCAAAACCCAATAATTTGAAGGTCAAAAGTCGAATGATGGTGAAGAGGATACATTTTTCAATCATAACATTATACTATGAAAGTCAACAAAATACCACCCTGTGAAGAAAGGTTGTATCAGCTGCTTGTATCTGAGAACGTGTTTCAGACACAATCCAAATAGCATGGCCATGACCAACAAATCCGCTGAGGTTGCTCGAACATCTTTTCGAAATGCCCCCATCCCATTGCGCCTTTCCATGCACGTACCACACGGAGGAGGCCAAGGGGACGACTGAGGACATTCTGGAGAGACAATGTCTCTTGGCTGTCCCCAAACCACCTCAGGCTTCTCCAAGAGATGGAGGAGGTGTCTTGGGAGAGGGAATTGTGGGAGTCTCTACTGTCACTGTGATTTGCAGCTCTAGCGCTGTTGCTGGTTCTTTTGAAAACATTATCCAACTATATTTCATAGTTGCAGGGCTGTCAACTGTCATCCATTGGGCGTGAAACTCCCATATCTCAGTGTCTTCACACGCTTTCACTCTAGATCCCAAATTTTTAATGCTAAAAAATGACGGCCATTAAAACACAACTCCATTCAACTAATTTATATATAAAAATACCATGCTGATCAAAATCCAGTCCGTGTTTTCAACTCAACCTTTGTGCAAACACACAAGGACATGTTAGGTTATCTGTGCAGCAGCAGCGGAGCTGGATATTAAAAAAAAAGTAAATATGAATAACATTTTCAATGTGGAGACCACATAAGATCAAATGGTTTGTTTTCTCTACATCTCTCTTTGTCTGCTCTAGTTTAGCCAGCTGATTTAGTCCCAGTTAATTATTTAACTTTTCTCACAAGTTAAATAATTATTGCTCAGTCTAGTCGATTTTAGGACTAATTAAACCAACACAAATCTCTAAAATCTTAAAGCTTTGAGGTATGCCTCAAAAACACATAGGAGGTCCACAATCCATCGCATTTTATTTATCAAAAGATGTGCCACCCAAGAAAAGGCCTACAACATAAAGAGAGGATGTGTAGAACAACGCACTTGTCCAGGATTCAATCCAATCCACTTTATTTATATAGCAAATTTAACAACTGAAAAAGTTTCCAATGTGCTGTACAAAACAAATAAGAAATAACAACACAACACAGCAATACATAAACATAATACAACAATAAATAAACTAAAAAGGACACAGAGGACCACACAAACTACACGTTGTTAAAAGCCAAAGAGTAAAAGTGGGTCTTAAGACGAGACTTAAAACACTCCACAGTGAGGCATTCCGTTTAAGGACGGGCAAAGTATTCCAAAGTCTGGGGCCAACTACAGAAAAGGCTCTCCCCCATCTGGTTTTAAGCCTCATCATAGGCACTAACGTTAACTGAAGATGGCCCTCATACCTCAGATCACGTGCCGGAGAATAAATATGGAGGAGGTCAGTGATGTATTGAGGAGCCATCGTATTAAGGGGTCTAAACACAAACAATAAAATCTTAAAATCAATTCTAAAACGAACAGGGAGCCAGTGCAAAGACGCAAGAACTGGTGTAATGTGTTGATGTTTTCTGGTCCCTGTTCAAATACGAGCCTCTGCATTTTGGACCAACTGCAGACGGGAGAGAGCTTGGTGACTAATGCCTGATAAAGTGCATTGCAGTAGTCCAGACGGCTAGAAATAAAAGAGTGTAAAACCTGCTCAAAACGGTTTTACATCAGATAAAAGAAGGAAATGATAAAATCACAATTTTAAAATGCTATTTATATGTTTGTTGAGTTTAAAATCGCTCAAAATGCTTGAAAGGTCCCAAGTCAGAGATGGCACTTTCAAACACCATCACCTCTGTCTTACTCTCATTAAGCTTCAGAAGGTTTTTTGAAAGCCAAGACTTGACATCACCCAGACATTCAAGAAGGGACTGGGGGGCAGTGGGTGTTTTTAGCAATTGTAGTAAAGTTGACAGTCATCAGCATAGAAAGGGTACGCTATACTCATTTTATTATTACTTATCTTATTCGTTTATCCTCATTTTGGTCCATTAAACATGTTTAAAAACTTAATTTCCAACACATCTACCAAAATGAAAGATTCAAAGAAATGCTGTTTTGTGTCATAGTGAGTTTTTATAGAATCTAAAGCCTCTTAGAAGGTCTGAATTGTCAATT